AACAAAGCGCGTGGGACTGACGCCGTGAGCCAGTCAATGCCATTCTTGAGGAAGTGTTAGACTCCAGAGTGGAGGGCTTCAGCCAGCCTCTAAGTGGCTAGAATCGTTCCAGTAGCTTATGCGCTAGCGGAAAGTGGTTCGTGTAGGCGCACACTCGGGGCAGACTAACGAGTTTCTAGAAGCCGAGATAGTGCCTCTCGATAATATTGGGTGTATTGATAGGTGGTAACGAGAGTGAGAATCGTAGGCAATCCAACGAGACCACAACGTTCACTTGTCACTCTGCTGGTGCTATTATGTGCCCTCCTGTCTTGATAACTTGTTGTTAAGACGTGGAAACGGTTAAGTGCTCATAAATGGCCGATGTTTGAATATCATTAGAGGGAGACATTCGTCTTGGAGGGTGACAACTAAATTGAGGGGAGAAACGTGAATTATTACATGTATTGAAAAATTCCATTGAAAAATCTCACGTTTAATTTTCTAAGAGGTTTTACCGGTCTTCAGTCAGAATTGTTAGACAATTATATTTTTTGTGTCCATTTTTGGAAAGATACGCAACTCTATTCGGCGTGTTTTGAGTCAATAGATGTTGTTTTTTCTGTATAAATTATCCTGTTGTTTTCTTGTTTTGCATTTTGTTGAGAGAAACAAATACACTGTTACAAAAATTTGGTTGCATTTTCCGGAGAAAGATCTTGAAGTCGATTTAAGGGGGAAAAGTCGATGGGATTTCACGTTTTTCTGAAAATTTAGACGAAGATTCGACAATTTAGATAAATTTTTGAGTGAAAATGAATATTCACTACCGAAATTCTTTGATTCCGAGAATTTTAAAGGAATTCCACGAATTTTTGGAAGAATTCACTGGAAATTCAGAGCAATGTGGAATTCAAGGACAGATTTGTCTCAATTTTCCTAATTTTTATAATTCTCGCAGAATAATTTACTTGAAATTTGCAGTTTCCCCGGATGATTCTGTGAAATTTTGAATTTTCAATTACAAAATTGCTTGAAATTTCAGTGGACAATTTTTAAGCGTAAAAATAAAGCGGAAAAAACTCGCGAATGCCGTTAATTTTTATATAAAAAATCTCAGGAGAACAAGTTACATAGAAAAATCTATGGACAGATTTATAGAAAATATTTTGATTATCAATTGACCTTTTTGTATCAAATATCTATTGAAAATAGAACGGCAAAACAAAAAGAGAATTCTTCAATGCAATTCTAATAGAACGGCAATAGGATTCCATAAAGGAAGCGCTACGTTCTTCTGTTAAATTTGCTACATACTAATAAAAAACTACTTTTCTTGGTATTTTACCAACACATCTTTTTTTTAGAAAATTGAGGAGTTAATTTACTCATTATTATTGCGCGGTTCATTCGTATTTGTTTATGATTACATTTATCAATAATTGCTATTGGATATTCGTTTCGCAGTATCAGCAAACGAAAATATCATCCTCCAGATTGATTATATCAAGAAATGACTGCAAAAATGAAATTTTCCAATCTATTTTCATTAATTGGGTCAATTTTTGCACTGGAAAAGTGAGGAGTTATTTTACGAACGGTAAAAAATAATAAAATAAACACAGCGCATTCGTCCAGAAAAAAACACTGGAAATTCCCCCAGTTTTCCGCGCATTTTTCCAGTGGAAATATCGAATAAAAGGAAATTGATAGATTTTCATTTTTCCATTTGAGTTACTCCACTGAGGTCTCTTCCGTATTTTTTCGTATTCTTCCATGCATCATCAATATTTGATATCGGATATTCGTTTCGCAGGATTCCAGAAAGAAAATATGAGTTGGTAATATCATCCAGTTTGATTACATCAATAATTGATGGAGAAAATGAAATGCGATATTTCCTTTCCCTTTTTTTCTCTTCATTATAACAGAGGAGAGAGGTTTTAACAAGGGGCTTACCCCCTTTGTTCTTTCTCTATCCTCAATGCTCCTCTCGCCTGCATTATCTATGATCATGTTTAAAAGTCTCGTTCGCTCGTAAAAGTACCATCATTTATTCGAACGTTAAAAAGCCTTTCAGAGGATCAAAACATAAAAAGGGACTGTACCATCTATTTCACTCTCATGTTTATATCCTCTTAACGGTATGTGGAATAATGAATGATGCGATTTTCGGGGCCTAATTCTTACGATTCAGAGTGCAGGCAGACCAATTGATTTATGAATTATGAGAGCTGAATTTTTAAATATTTCTCGCAGACTGCTGGATGGATATTGTTTTGAATATTTGGCCGACATTTCAGATTCACTTTTTAAAAAATTTATAAAGTGAAATATTTACTGAATTTTTAGAATTTCGTCATTGAGAATCCCCGATTTGATGGGATTAATCAATGGAAGATGTAAATTTTAATTCATTTACTCCACGAAAATTGATAGAAATCAGGAAAATTTAACGAATTGAATATTCAGTGAAATTTGGAATTTTATGAATCTTTTCCCCTCGAATCGAATTAAATATCGCTCTCCTGAAAATTACTCTAACAATATGAAGAGAATTTGTTAAATCCTTTTCCATTGAAGATATTCAATATATTAAATGAAATTTCAATATAACATAAAATATCGAGCAGTCTCTTTCTATTTTCAAAGCCAGTTCCAATTAATTGCGAAGGGGTAAAACGGTTCAAGTCGATTTTTGGCTGAATAATTTGAAATTTGAATATTTAATTGATGATTAATTTCGGTTTAAATGTTTGGCCGGCATTTCAGATTCACTTTTAAAAAAATTTATGAAGTGAAATATTTACTGAATTTTTAAAATTTCATCAATGAGAATTCACGATTTGATGAGATTAATTAATGGAAGATGTAAATTTTAATTCATTTACTCCACGAAAATTGACAGAAATCAGGAAAATTCAACGAATTGAATATTCAGTGAAATTTGGAATTTTATGAATGTTTTCTCCTCGAATCGAATTAAATATCGCTCTCCTGAAAATGACTATAACAATATCAAGAGAATTTGTTAAACCCCTTTCCTTTGAAAATATTCAATATATTAAACGAAATTTTCCTACAACATAAAATATATAGAGCAGTCTCTTTCTATTTTGAAAGCAGGATTTAATTAATTGCGAAGCGGTAAACCAATTTAAGTTGACTTTGGGCTGAATAATTTGAAATTTGAATATTCAATTGATGATTAAATTTATAATTAAAAAATTGTTGGGTAATATTAACCGATTAACTAATTAAAAATTCAACGCAATTAAAAATTTATGATTATACCGATGTCTACATAGATGCGTGGAATACCGTACGTTTCAATTTTGCACGGATATTCTTCTCAACAATTTCCTATATACTATTTCGAAATATCTCCCAAGGTGCTCGGTTTAGTGGAAAATGAAAAAAAAATACTTCGTCAATTTTTTTGTTGACGGAATTAAATAAAACTTCAACATAAAATTAAATCTATGCAGCACTTTCCTTCCACTTCTGCTCTCAATTTATTTCTCCTCATATATGTCCCTACTTTGTTTGAAACTAAAGGATGGAAGCAGGAACTACTACATTTCAATTCTACATGCACATTCCCGGGTAGCAATTGGAACTGAAATGCAATTAGAATTTCAAAGAGTCCTGTTTGTACAATATTTCCACCAAACAGAACAATTGATTTATTATTGGTGGAAATTCAATAGTAGACGGTGCCCTGTGTCACTGTTAATTAACTTTGTCGCTTGCACGTTCGTAGCAAAGTGAATTCTTCGTTTACAACGCGCACCAATCGATGTGCAACAATGGATGAGTTATAAACGAAGTTGAAGAGCAGCGGATTGGAGTACATAATTTTCCGGAAAACAATTAACTTTGATTATTGAAGTGGAAGGAAAGAGAATTGAAGATTAAATGGAATTCAAAGGGGGAATCAATTTGCTTCGTACGGTTGGGAGAGACGAGCGGAGGTAGGATAATAATAATTCACACGACCACACGTCACAGATCAATACCGGGTAACATTCAAATGGTAAAACTTTCTGTTGGCCGAATGCGTGACTGGCGCAAGTGATCAAGATAATTGGCTTAAAAATGTATTTTTATTGGGTTCGATAGCTCCCCGGGCACGATTTCGCGAATTGTCATCCACTGGTATCGATGCTATTGTACTCGTGGGGAACAATCAAATGGATAACATTTTTTTTAAGAATTAACGGAGTTGGAGAGCTTTTAGTGGATTAAAATTTTAAAATGGGTCTTCTGATTTCATCTTAAAATTATGTCTCTTTGTATTATAAAAATTTAAATTGACTTCTGGTGATGAAAATTTTGTACTCGAAATTAAGACTCGAAAATTAAGGGTTACAAGGGTCAAAATAAGGGTCACAGGAGTCAACATCATGGTCATGAGAGTGAGAATAGAGGTCATACGGGTTACAAGGGTCAAAATTAGGATCATGAGGATCACGAGGGTAAGATTAAGGGTCACAAGGGTCACAAGGATCACATTAACCGTTAAGATTATGGGGGTTGGCGAGCGGAGCGAGCAGAGGGCGCAGCGTAATTTTAAATAAGTGAATAGAATTCAATAAAAAAAAATCTATTCGTTTTACCGTGCAATCATTCTCTTGAGACTTTTCTCTATCAAAATTCCCGGGTATTCACTTTCCATTTTTTTCGCTGTGTTTCATTCACTCTTCATTACGAAATCGAAGGAGAAGAAATGTAAAATTCATGCCCAAGAATTCTCGTAAAATGCCAACAAAGTTATATGAAAAAAGGGGTGCAAGAAGACTTAAATTTTCCGCAGTCTTTCGATAGAATTGTAAAAAAAACCGTCAGATTTTTCTCTTAAATTTTTTGTTCCGCGAAACCCACTGGTTCCAGAGACACGTTCAAAATAATGTTAATCAAATTTATGAACTTCTTTCGGATTCCCATGCCGCATGCAACAATGAAGAAATGTGATAAATCTTTTATGGATGATGAAAGAATCCTTTTATCTTATGCTTCAGGTCTCAGCACCTCGTTACCCGGCAGTCGTAAAACTTGGTCATGCACACGGTGGGGTTGGCAAAGCTCGTGCCGAGAACAACCAGGAATTCCAAGATTTAGCATCGCTTGCAGCCCTAACAACTACATACTGCACATCGGAGCCTTACATCGACACCAAATACGATGTTCACGTGCAAAAGATCGGAAACAATTACAAAGCATTCATGTGAGTAGTTTCGGAAATATCATTTGCAGTTCAATTGCTCGATTTCATTATCGGCGAATCTTAATCCCTAATTGTTTCCTAATTATTGTAATTAATTCCACTAGGCGAAAGAGTATCAGTGGTAATTGGAAATCCAACACGGGCTCGGCTATGCTGGAGCAAGCGTCGATGACGGAGAGATATCGAGCCTGGGTCGACCATGTTTCTAATTTATTCGGGGGTCTTGATATTTGTGCGATTGAGTTATTGGTGGGGAAGGATGGCAGGGAATATATCATTGAGGTTAATGATAGTGCATTGTCGTTGATGGGAGACTCGCAGGAAGAGGACAGACGTCAAATTGCTGATCTGGTTACTGCCAAGATGCAAGTGAGTGACAAATTTAACGAAATTATGCAAAATTTAGTGCGAACAATCTAGTGGTCGCTCTAATAGTACAGAATTCTACTGAATTTCTATTGGAACTTTACAAGAATTCGCAGTGAATTCTATTGGACCTTAAAATTGAAATCTCCCTCATTCCAGGCCATACTGCGGTCATAATTGCAATAAACTAACATTAATTCAGGCGGGAGAAGCCTTATGTTTACGTTAAAAACTCAATGTAGTTAACAATTGATAGGGAAATCAAACTATTGGGATAGTTGAGTAATCGGGATGGTTTGTTCAATGAACTATAGGGATAGTTGAACTATTATTTATATTTTTTCAATACCCGGAATCGAATAATTGGACCTGGCAAGTTCTACCTTTCTATCTCGGGTTATGTCCCATTTCAGCACTCGTTAAGTGTAAGCAGGACTTGTATTCAGACTTTCCAAATCCTTGCCGGTCCCCTTGATTCTATGGGCCTATATTAAGTCCGGGTTCATATCCCTCTTTACGCATGCATTATTGAAATAAAAAATGAAATTATTACATTTTTTTTTAATCTCGAAAATCGACATTTTACGAGAGGGTGGAGGGGAGACGCATGTATGCGGAGGCTTGAAATTTTTACTCAACAAGGGGAGAAGGTTGCAGAATCGATTCTAGCCACCCTTGTCCCTCCGCTTGCATGCGTTGTCTAAATAAAAAATTTCTAGCGTCTCCGAGGGTTTCATTGGCATTAGGGGGGCCAATAAATACAGAATCAACCTTCACTTGGCGAAAAAATTCGACTTTGGCGAAAGTCGACTTTCCCCCTGGAAAAATCCAAGATCTGACACTTTGGCCCCCGGTCAAAACATTTTTTTTTCAGTTTTCACTTTATCCACATACTTTTGAGAGTTCTGAATAGCTCAACGCTTAAATAGTTGGAATCAACGTTCACTTGGCCAAAAAATTCGATTTTGGCGAAAGTCGACTTTCCCCCTGGAAAAACGAAAAATCTGACTCTTTGAAAATTTGAAAAAAAAAACTTTTTCAGATTTCACTTTTTCCACATACTTTTGAGAGTTCTGAATAGCTCAACGCTTAAATAGTTGGAATCAACGTTCACTTGGCCAAAAAATTCGATTTTGGCGAAAGTCGACTTTCCCCCTGGAAAAACGAAAAATCTGACTCTTTGAAAATTTGAAAAAAAAAACTTTTTCAGTTTTCACTTTTTCCACATACTTTTGAGAGTTCTGAATAGCTCGTCGCTTAAATAGTAGGAATCAACGTTCACTCGGTTAAAAAATTTGATTTTGGCGAAAGTCGACTTTCTCCCTGGAAAAACGAAAAATCTGACTCTTTGCAAATTTGAAAAAAAAAACTTTTTCAGTTTCCACTTTTTCCACATACTTTTGAGAGTTCTGAATAGCTCGTCGCTTAAATAGTTGGAATCAACGTTCACTTGGCCAAAAAATTCGATTTTGGCGAAAGTCGACTTTCTCCCTGGAAAAACGAAAAATCTGACTCTTTGCAAATTTGAAAAAAAAAACTTTTTCAGATTTCACTTTTTCCACATACTTTTGAGAGTTCTGAATAGCCCGTCGCTTAAATAGTAGGAATCAACGTTCACTCGGCTAAAAAATTTGATTTTGGCGAAAGTCGACTTTCCCCCTAGAAAAATCCAAGATCTGACACTTTGGCCCTCGTGACCCTTGTGACCCTTTGACCGACTTTCCCCCGGAAAAAATCGAAGATCTGACACTTTGGCCCCCGGTGAAAATTTTTTTTTTCAGTTTTCAGTTTTTCCACATACTTTTGAGAGTTCTGAAAAGCCCGTCGCTTAAATATTTGGAATCAACGTTCACCTGGCTGAAAAATTCGATTTTGGGGAAAGTTGATTTTCCCCTGGAAAACGGAAAATCTGACCCTTTGAAAATTTCTATCGAATTTTTTCATGTTTAATTAAAAATATCCAAGTACTTTATTTTTTTCTTTGCAATTCCCCTCAACATTTGCAGTGGAATCAGTTGAAGGTTTAAATTGAATGTCTGAAAATTCATCGAGACAAATAGAATGGCTTTTACTCAAGTCTCCACGCCTTGCAATTCAGACAAAAATGTCAGAACATTAATGTCACAATTCGCCGGAGGAAAGTCTCCCAATGCATTTGGTAAACGCATTTTATTTATTCTCAAAGGCTTGCTGTAGACCGCACAGTGTCTTAACCAAGACAGCATCCAGAGGATCAATGTCAGGTGCGAGTCAAGCAACGAGTCCTGCGGAGGAGCGTGGACCACCATCTGGGCCGCCGCCTGGACCGGCGCCAGTGTTGGGTGCTCATCCACCCATTGGCTCAATGGGCTCCATAAGTAGCATAGGCTCGAGCATGGGTGCGACCACCGGCGCTGATGTTACGAAATCTGATAGCCATGGACAACTCGTACGACGGGATTCCCAAGGTAGAGATGATCTTTATCCTTTCGAAACTGACAATGAGAAAAAAATCGATGATACTGTTACGAAGTATTAATTTTCACCTCATTATCACCTGCATTTTCCCTCATTTTTGTGAAAATTTCTCGGTGCTTTTGTTCAAGTAATTGTATAGGTTTGACTCGCGAGGAATATTTTACTCACAGACCGAAAAAACGCATGTAAATAAAGAAAATGTCAAAATTGTATTCAATTTTTATTAACAATTCGCTTTCTTTCCACGTCAAATTTTTATTGCAAATAGGGCGCCTTTGTCATGAACTTTTTAAGAGATTATTTATTGAAAAAGTCGAAAGATGTTGGTTTTTCATTGTTTATTCTTTTCGCCATGAGAAACAAAAAAAATATAGAAGGAAGGACTTCAAACATTTATTTCTATGTATTTCTACAGAAAAAGTTTTAAGAGAATAACTCATATAAAGGATCAAAATCTATCGGTTTTTCTTCTATCACAAATTGGTAAAAAATAGACACAAAAAACAAATAGCCAATTTTAACAGAATTATTATAGAATTCTAACAGTGATGACATTCATCTGAATTGATGACATTCACGTCTATAATTATGGTTGGATTATCTATATTTTTTTTCGAATTTTTCCACATTTCCTCGATTTCTACAAAATCGCGATAACATTCGATGTACAAGGAATTAAATTGGTTGTGAATAATTTGTAACAAAATCTACAAAAACTCTAAAAAAAATACGCATTACCTAACTACGCTGAACGTTCTATAAAAATTTCAAATCAATGTCATCATTTTTTTCAGAGATAAGACACCTTAAGTAGAATTTTTTTAAACGCGCCTGCATATAAATCCTTTTACGAAATCTTATAAAACTTCATTTTTACAGCCGTCACCCCTAAAGTCACATCTGCTATAAAAACTGTAGCATTGAGCTTTCTAACCGGATTTTCCCCAGAGAATCTCATAAAAAAATTCCTCTGAAACTTCGCCATTGCCATGCATTTTCCTTCATAATTATAAGAGAAGGAGTCCTTTGATCAGTGATTTCACCCTCGAATATTATAAGTTTGAACGCGAAATCTCAAGCCAAATTGACTTAAACATTAGCCGGGAAATGCAGCCCGGTAAATCCCACCGGTTTACATCAAGCACACCAACTCGTTCTGATTCAATAAACAGGACACAGAAGTCTGCAGCCGCAGTTTGTTAGTAATTGACTATCGACCACACCGATAGTTCTTCAAACTATCCCCACACATATTCATAACTGAATCCACGATGGACATGAGCCGTCCTGTCTGAATTGGGCGTGTCCTGCAGACAATTACCCACGAGTAATTGCCCAGGTTTCTCCCCCTCTTCTGGGTGGCTGTTGCCAGGAGTTATGTTGCTCGCTTATCAAGCACTGGCCAACGGGTTTTTCCTACATGAATAGTTTGATCTTTGCGAGATTATTCAAATCCGGTGGAGTAAAAAATGCATTAAATCCGCGCGAATTTAATCCTTTTAATAGAGTCTTTTCATGATTTTTTTAGCATGATTCCTCAGATAAGAGTAGGGGTTGTGCACCATGTGTTCAATCCACTTAAGCCGGAATTTGATTGATATTGCTGATGATTTTTTCAGTAATCATGAAAAAATGGATTTTTCATCACTTGTGCATAAAGTGAAATTTTATGCACTTTTGAGAAGGTATCGCCAAAAACACTTTTATGATACTAGGAACGAAAACCACGATTCTTACTTCGCTTTGCTCGCTTGAATCGCGTTTTTCGGGCCTAGTTACATAAAATATTGTATGTCAGACGGCGATAAAAGTATTTTTCAGCCCTTGTACGAAATTTGAAATTCCAGTTTCCACATATCGTGATGAAAAATAGGATTCGATACTCGTGGGAAAATTGTACTTTGTACGACCCTTGGGAGGGTAGCACTCCCAAGCGCTACACATTTTTCACGCGTCAAAAAATACTTTTTCGCCACGGTGGACGGAAAGGACACATTTTCCTCCCGCTTCGCGGGGGGGAAATCTGCTTTTTCGCCTACGCCGTGACGAAAAATAACGTTCTCACCACGGAAGGTAAAATAAAGGACCCTTACCCACATGCTCACCCTCACCTTCGGCTCGGGTGGTAATTCTGCACGTAGGCACGACTCCTTTCTTTTTCTGTTCCGGCGGGAGCAAAGTTCCCGCTTCACGGGAGGGAAATCTGACTTTGCTCCTACGCCGGAACAGAAAAATCGCGTTCTAACGGAAGTCCACGGAAGGTAAAATAAAAGACCCTTGCCCACGTGCAGAATTATCAGCCGAGCCGAAGGCGAGGTTGATAAGCACCTGGGCAAGGGTCTTTTATTTTATGCCTCTAGGGACGGAAAACCGCGATTCTAACCTCGCTTCGCTCGGTTAAGTCGCGGTTTCCAGTCCTCGAGGCATAAAATATCGTGTGCCACACGGCAGTAAAAGTATTTTCTGACTCATGTGATTATAACCCTCGCCTTCGGCTTGGGTTATAACATCACATTCGTCAAAAAATACTTTTACTCCCTAGGGGCACAATATACTATTACCTCCCTAGGTTAGAAATATACTATTCCCTCCCTTGGTAGAAAATATACTTTTCCGTCCCGGCGGGAGGAAAGTTACATTTCCCTCCCGCTTCGCGGGAGGGAACTCTGACTTTGCGCCTACGCCGAGACGGAAAATCGCGTTCTAACCACGGGAAGTAAAATAAAGGACCCTCAGCCGCCAGTGCAATTACCAGAAGAGCCGAAGGCGAGGTCCTTTATTTTCCTTTATTTTCCCTCCCTAGGTTAGAAATATACTATTTCCCGTACAGAAATATACTATTATGACACAAGCCCTGAAAACCGCGATTCTAACTTCGCTTTGCTCGTTTGAATCGCGGTTTTCGGGCCCAGTGACATAAAATATTGTATGTCAGACGGCCATAAAAGTATTTTTCAGCATTTGTGCGTAATCCAATTTAAACACGTAAACACATTGAATTTGAACTGGTGGTAATGGATAGAGCATATTGAAGTCTACATTCAGGAAAAAATTAACGAATGTAGCTATATTTTGTTCTGGTTTGCATTACAAGATGTAAGTGACAATGACTTAGAATATTCATACCCAAGTAGTTTTATATAAAAAATTCCAAGAGAATATTCATGTAGAAAAATCAAAATCTACTAACTTTGTCTTATGAAATATCTCACAGAATGAGCGCAAAAAAATAAATAGAATTTTGACGAGAATTCCCTACAATTTTAATAGAATCCCAATAGAGTTTCTAGAGAATTCCGATAGAATTTTCTAGCGAATTCGCTCAGCCCAGTTTTTTTATTGCATTTTTTAATATCTGTTGCCACGATGGTCGACGTAATTTTTATCCAACTTTTCTCTCCGTATACTCGCCAAATAATCCGCATGAGGCTTCCCCTAATACCGTATTTCCCTGTTTTTAATTACAGCATCTCAATCGAGCACAGTGAGCAGTGCCCCGTCAACAGGACGTCGTAGCGACGAGCCACCGCCCCTTCCCCCATCCCGAGTGCCATTTCATCGTCAAGGAAGTCAATCGCAGCCGTCGACTGGGGAAGACAGCGAGGACACCATGAAAAATCTCCGGAAGACATTTGCCGGTATATTCGGAGAAATGTAGAATGGGTAAAAAAAACTTTAAATTATTCATAATCCTGGCTGATGCGACGATAAAGCTAAGTATTGGGCATTAAAATATAATGAAGAGATAATTAAAAACGAGAGGAAGAATGAAAAATAATAATTAAACCGGTATTCTAATGAGGGGCAATGAGAATGAGAGAAAGAATCATGGCGTCTGGGCGAGTTGCGATCAGCTCGACGTGAAACATTAAACCCTGGGAGATTAAAGCTCACTCGTCCGACAGTACTTACTTATACATTCGCAGATTATACCGGAATTGTTAATGGCCATTCAGTTTTCACGTATGAAAATATTTTGATGGAAAAATTAATGCACTCGGTAGAAAATCATGGTGGATTCATAGACGTTCATTTTTCTATGCAATTTATTCTGTTGAAATTTTTTATAGAAAAACTCTAGGGGATATGTTCTCTAATTTTTAAGAATACTTGGGAAATTTAGGGCCAAGAGTTTTGTAGAATAAATTGAAATAGGCAAAAGACCAATTGAATTTCAATACGAAAAATTTTCTTCATACGTCAATTCGTCATCGGACAGAGTGAAAAATCTACTGGAAATTACCTCTGAATTTTGTAAATCTAGTAAATCCAGTGAAAATTCGAAATTTTTATGAAAAATTTCACAAACATATTGTAATTTTTACCAGAGTTCTGATAAAAATTATCTAAACGCCCGATTACTAAAATCCGAGTGTAATTTTCAACATATTCTTTCCTCCCTAAATATTGCCATAACGTTTGATGGCAATGACATGGCTATTTCAGCGAGATTGATTCCTATAGAAATTCTATTGAATTTTCTCCTGCAACTTTTAAATGAATTGATTCAAAAAAGTTAATCGATGTTAATTTCTCTACACAATTTATTCTGTGGCAACGTTTTCCTATGAAAATTCTTGGGAATTGATCCTCTAAATTTCTGGAATTCTCATTTCTAAGAGTTTTTGTAGAAAAAATGTCTTGCGAATAGGTCCCAGAGAAATGGAGATCTGTTTTCCGTACTGACCTTCACTTTTCTTCCTCCGGGGATTGGCATGAGCCGTTCCCGAAACTCGTGGAAGTGAAAATCACTATGGAAAAATATCTTTTATGACTAATGCCGTGGGGTTTTTCTACTGACGCGGTTGGCTAGTCCTCGCCCTCGGCTCAGACGCCAACTCCACACGAGTAAAAACCCCGCGGCACTCGCTCTGAAATACCCTATTACTTGATACAGGCAAACAATGAATGAATTTCTGACAAAAATCAATAAAATCGATTTTCCTATTGATCCATCATCGAACCGAGTGAACCTGTTATAAATTACCCTAGAATTTCAGTAATCGTGCAGCCTTTCAGCAATTTCCACCAAAATTCTGGTAAAGAAGGCAGAACAATTGCAAAAATATTTTAATTTGCGCCCAAAAAACATTCTAATTTTCACTAGAATTCTGATAAAAATTGTATCAACGCCCGATTGCTAAAATACAAGAGTAATTTTCGACGTATTTTTTCCTCCGTAAATATTACGATAACATTTAATGGCAATAGCACGTGTATTTCACCGCGATTCGGCCGTCGCCTCAATACACCGGAAATTCTGGATAAGATCGTGATGATGAATTGAATCCAATGAGCAATGATAAACACGATCGATGCAAGTCATTGTCCCCGTTATTTTGTAAAATACCAATATTATCGGATATATTAGGAAGTACTGACGAGGAGGTACTGCAAACGCACAAGTAGTTGTTAAGCACTTTTGGATACCAAAAATGTCAAAATTCGCATTGCCATTGAAATAATAAATAAATCACCCGAGCAACTTGAAACAACAATTGGCGAATTTTAATCGTATTCTTTAATCACAATCGATATGATCTGCGGATTGCATGATAAGTGGTACACAGGACGGTACAAAAGAATAATATCAGTAATAAATAGTGAAACACTTTGGCCTATGCACAATAATTGGATTTAAAAATAAAACCAAAGTGAATTGGAAGGAAATGAACGGAGATGAGTCGAGATAATCAAAATGAATGGAGAGGAAATTCGAGGAGGTTGTTGAAAATGAGGATGAAGGATCGATGAATGCAAGCGCGCAGCCTCGGTTAATGATAAGAAAAATCTCAGGGGTGCTATTCAATGCACTAGGTAAAACGTTAAGAAAATAAACACAAAAAAAAAAAATTCTAAAAAAAAGAACAGATGATTAAAATAGACCAGCCAATTGTGTTGTAGTTGAATGAGATCTTTCTACGTAATAGAGGCCGATAAGACAAAAAAGAGATTAACAAACGCAAAAGGAGCGCTGAATAGAAGTCATTAAGAACCTGATGAAAATTTCCCTTCGAACCAAAAAAAAAATACAAAGAATTAGCAGAATGAAGTGCGAATAAAAGTGACCTAAGAAGACATATAAAAATAGTTGAAGTATCAAAAAAGAGGAACATATAAAACAGAAAAAAACTTAAAGGAAAAAAAAATACAAAAAGCCCACAGTGCCATGTTGCTTAGATGAATGAAAAATTGTTAACTCCTCCAAATTCTCGTGTTACGTGCTACAATCATTTATCCACTAAATGATTAACAACAAATCTACCTGAATAATCACTAGACACAAAGGGAAGAGCACAAGCACGCGGAGTTGGATTTATAAATGGCTGAAGTTTGAAGGCATGGAGTTGAAATAACTCTAGTGTTACCATAATTCATAACTTAATGAGAAAAGTTGTTGAAAAAAAATCGTGTATCACAATTTTTATAAATAATTTCGTTAAGTTTACTCCCAAAGCCGCATTTAGCAACACTTCAACAATTGTTTCCTCACCCCAATAGACCGAAAAAAAGATGAAAAAATGAAATATTGGTAACAATAATAAAACTTAGCAATATCGTTGACACATACTCAATTATAATAATTGTTAATTATCGAATAGTAAAAGTTTTCTACGCGTCGCGGCTCTAATACGAATAATTGTTACAGTTACCTTGTGATCATTTTCATGAATAACTCATGAATATTTTGCTCATTTCTCCCTCTTGAGATTATTTTCACCTTCATTATTAATTCTTATCTATGATCGTGATGTCAAATATAATTAATTTAAACCTCCTTCTCCCAATCCCCCACCCTGATATCCTCGAAACTAATTTTCCCTGGTAATTAAGGGTGCTTGTGAAGTATATAATGATTTTATGAGCCTCATATACATAGAAATTAGATTACCTGAGAATGGAGGTGAGGGAGGTTGCCGCGACACAGATTTCATTATCTGTGGTCTCTCCATCTTTATTTTCAATTTATTCATCATCTTCTCCAGTACTTCGTCCTGCAACGAAACTACTTATAGAGAAAAAACGAAGAATTTAGGGATAGACTTTCAATGTCGACTGAATAATCTCATCTGTTACTGCATTTAATGATACTCGAGGGATGAATCTCTTGTGGCACGACGCATCTGAAGTACTGCACAATTGTCGGAAGACGTTCAATCCCCGAGTTAATAGATTCTAACTTCTTGTGCATGTATCTCAACGCTATAATAATCTTACGATTATTAGTTTCTACGTGGAAACTAATGAAATTTCAAAAAGACAAATAACAAATAGTAACAGTAGACGGATTTGGGCGTGATACATTGCGCACAATAACCGTGAAATGTTACCCTCTTGATTTCAAGCGCGTGCTAGTCACATACATATATTAACAATAAAACACGATATGAGAATGGTTATTGCATTGTAAAGCGCCATTCTCATTTATTATCATGATATATGTGTCATATGTGTGTTATTTAATCTAGTAGCTACGTGTCGATCGTTCAAATGCGCCGATTAAATTGAAATTTTAAAAATTGAACGCATAAAAAATCACAAAATTATCGTTTGCCGATTGAAAATTGATACTGCATATTCATGAAAAGGAAATATCAAAAAAATTAAAATTGCGGTGTTGCTGGCGCGGCAGGCATGACTCCCAAATAATTTCACCATTCAGCATTAATTCAGTGTAAAATTAACAACGAAATTTGCATCACAGGATGCTGTTCAATAATCAACTAGACGATGGGAGATGAGATTGGGGGAAAAAATCGTGGAAATGGATTCAATCGATTGATATTGGCCAGCAGCCTGTTTATTAATCGTTCACATAGCTTATCAGCGATACAAAACTCTTAATTATGTGATTATTGATAAATACAGTAGCTGCAGGCACACTAATTACTTAATAACCCAGAATAACCACTGACTAACTGATTAAAAAACGAAAATACCAAAGAAGAAAAATATAGTTAAGAGGAACGTAAGTTGAGGGAAGGATTAAATCATACTTAAAATGCGAGTTCTATCTGTCATCGTTATTATTAAGAATTATCGGAGTTTGGAAAAACTCTAAAATTAGGATTAATTAAGTGCTAGGAGCATAAACATTTAGCGTGGGGGCGTAGAACAATACTTATGGATAGTGAAAAGAGAAATTCGATAACAAAAATGGGTGTAACTGAATAAAGGACTATGTAATGGGCCCAGTAGAGATATTTCAAGGTGCTTGATACTTGGACTTTCTGATGAATGACCAAATTTCCCTGTTTGGCATACCAACGGATTCTGGTGAATTAGGCTTGGAGATTAATCTCCCCCGGGGGCACAACCTCGAGTGTCACAATTACGGCCAAACTCCAGCGCATCATCAGAAACGTGAAATTGTTCATTTGTGATTTCAATCTCACGTGGGCATGAGCCACTGGAAGTCTGATAAATCGTTGATATCCTCAATTTGGAGAGACACTCGAGTCATCAGATAGATATGTTGAAGCACGCTCGTGCGCTCCAGTTCTCATCTCATGGGGAAATTGATGATTTATTTGCTGTCGCGATACTGTCCACGATTATCACCTTGCAATTACGTTAGAAATTAAAATGATTATAAAAGGAAAAAAAAACACTGAGGAAAAATAGATGTGGAGAAAAATAATTCATCAAACACGACGGAGGAAAGTCTATTATTTACGAATCGACGTTAAATTTTAAACCCAAGAAATAAATAGATACTTAATGGTCATTGGTAAATCGATATGTATTGTATAATTACCGAAATTATGGGGGAATTTTAACTGTTGGTAATCAGTCTACGTTGATTAGATGAAAAATGAAAGAAGTATTATTTGAAACGGGTGTTTCGCATACGGTATACTTACTGAAAAATGAATAATTAAAACTCACGAATGTGTATTATTTTTATCAATTTTGAGGAAAGACAAAAATGATAAGTAATTATTAATCAAATTAATGACGTTACCGGCTGTCGTAATAATAAACAAATATATATAATGCTATCTATAGACGATTAACATACGTTTACATATTGATAAACGATTTATTTGTAAAAAACTCACTGTAATGGCAAGATACTTGAAGTGTAATTTAAACGGTCATTTCTGTGTACGATGAGAGAGGTTGTGCCACTCTGATCTCCTTCGGTATATCGCTGAGAAAAAAATCGAGAGATTATTGGGATTATCGGGGGGTTTGCGAGTGGGGCATCCTCAGACCGAATTTAGAGTCGGCACGTTATATATTAAGATGCCCATTAGATTGATCTGTTAAATTATTATTGATATATTAATATACCATAAGGTAATGTGTAACAGCAGAATAAAAAACATGGGGTCGCAACAATATCAGATGTGTAATTACTTTTCCTTGGTTGTTTGATTACATGAGAATGAGGGGTGATTAGGTCTTGTTGATTGGAATCACTCGCTTTGGCGCTTTGGAAAGTTCATTTGGAGTTTGTTGTGTTGATATCGCTGGGCGTTCACGGGATTTTCCATCAGAAAAATGTCTTATCGAGCTCGGTGTTCAGGGAACAGTTGCGATACATCCCACCGCGACTTAGTTGATTGCTGAAGGTGGTGTTGCGTGGGTAGAAGGTCGTTGGAACCGTGTGAATTGTTGGGGTGTACCAGCCGTAGTCCATTGATGTACTGCGGTAGCAGGGGTGGGGTTTGGATGTTTCTGTTTGTCGGTAGCCTTTGAAAACACCTGAAATTTAATGGGGAAATTTAGATGAGTTGAGTTTAATTGGAGTTCAACCATTCAACGGGGCTCTTTCGTTTGAAAGCGCATTGTGTGCTTCATACCTCTCAAATTTGATCATTTCTGATGAACGGGGAATTGTAAAAACGATATGCAAGTGAGAGTAAAGTACCCCGCTTCCGATGTTCATAGTGATTATACTATTCCTCATGGTTAATGTGCTAGTGGTTAAGCCATAGGTCGGTAGGACATACCGAGCGCGTCCCTGAGGGCTTATATTTTGTATCTTCGAGTGGAAGAGAAAACTCCACTGGGAATTCTATTACTTTCTTCCGATGATTGCTATTGGGAATTACGCGGCCTCACCGTGTGTTTTTTAATAGATATTTGAGTCCAAAAAGTTGATTAATGCTGTTGTTTTTTATATCTTTAGTGGGTTAGAATATTTCTTTTAAGAATTCTTCGGCATGAATTTTTGAAGTTTTCTGCTTGGATTTGGTAATGAACTCATGTTTCTTTTATGAAATGTCTATCACAAAATCGCTCGGTAAAGTTGCATAATTTTCAGTGGAAATTGATACTTTTCTGAAAGAAGACGCTATATTTTTTTCCGTCCCGGCGGGCGCAAAGTTACTTTTCCCTCCCGCTTCGCGGGAGGGAACTCTGACTTTGCGCCTACGCCGAGACGGAAAATCACGTTCTAACTACGGGAAGTAAAATAAAGGACCCTCAGCCGCTGGTAATTGCACTGGCGGCTGAGGATCCTTTATTTTCCCTCCATAGGTTAGAGATATACTATTACTAAATTCTTCCAACGTGCACTGGTTTAAGGAAAATGTATTCATGCCACTCAAGATTTAGGATTTAAAGATTTATTGCTTCCACAGTTGAGGTTTATACTTTTTATAGCCACCCACTCCTTAAAACCCTCCCGTAGCAATACGCAAAGGGAAAAGGACACTTCACGTTGAGCCGTCTGTGTGGACGCATCATAACATTCACTCTACACAAAATTTAAATCAATTGCTCGGTCTCGATAAATATTCAAGTGAATCAACCCCAATTCAACTGAAATTTATTCCAAACATTTATTCCGCGTCATTGCATTCCAAAATTATTATTGCTACTAAATCAATTTATCGCGCTAGTTTTCACTGAAAATCCACGCTTTAAATGACAAGTATCCTCGTTCTTTTCATCAAATAATGCCTCACATTATATTTGAAACAACTAATGAAGAATAATAAAATTTAATCAAATTCAAATAATAAATCCCATTGAAAATGATATAAATCTTGAATTCAACCACGCTATTTATCACAAAAACCGTAATGAATCTTTCTCCCAAATTTCTCCCAAATTAATAATGAATAAACAATCATCTCATATTAGTCGTAAATTTTCCTGAGTGAGTTTAATTGTTAGTTCGGGAGTATCGCCTGTTCGATACACAACTATAGGGGAGGGTGTGCCTGTACCGCTCAGCGGGTAATACCGCTCACCCGATTTTCTCCACAACCATCAACTTGAAAATTTCTTCTTGTTCCTGATCATGAAGAATGTGATGATAGGATGCGATTGTCGGAAAAATTTCACTTTATTTACCACTTTAAATATGAAAAAACACGTAACGAAGTTTTGAGGTCTTTACAGTGCAAAATTTGTGGACTTGATTCCCCGTCATTGCATTCCAAAACGATTACTGCTACTAAATCAATTTATCATGCTAGTTTTCAAATCGTACTTAAAACAACTAAAGAAGAATAAAAAAGTTAAATCCAATTGAAATAATAAATCGAATTGAAAATTATATAAATCTTGAATTAAACCACGTTATTTATCACAAAAACCATAATGAATCTTTCAATTCCTTCCAAATTAGTAATGAATAAACAATAATCTCATATTAGTCGCAAATTTCCCTGAGTGAATTTAATAGTTATCTCGGAAGTGCCGCCTGTTTGATACAGTACCTAAAAACACATCAATTCCCACCGATTAAACTTCTTCACAGCTGTAAGGCTCCTCACACCCGGTGCTCTCACACCTCACCATTCCCTTGACAACCGTCAAATTAACACTCAAAGTTCCGTCAATGATAAACCCGGGCTCAATCGAAACTTTCCTCATCATCTCGAAAATTGACATATCAACAGACTCAAGTTCATTTCCACTGAGAAACAGGAACGACAAACACTCGAGTCCATCGAAGCATCCAGTCTGAAGTGAAGCAATGCGATTTGCATTGAGCCACAATGAATGCAATGAAGCCATATTCCGGAAGAGTCCGCTGGGAATCGTGACAATACGATTCCTGGATAAATCGAGTTCATTGAGCTCTGTCAGCCCGCGAAATACGTCCTGATGGAGCGAGACTATCTCATTTCGGGAGAGATAGAGGAGATCCATGTGTGGAAGACCGTTGAAAGTGCCAGTGGGTACTTCGGCAATCTCATTAGCATCTAGGGCCAATGTCTCCAGTTGTCTCAGACCTCTGAATATATTTTTCCTCAGGACAATTGAGTTATTGGTGGCGTAGAGCTCCCTCAGGGATGTCAATCCCTTCCAGACAGTCGGACCCAATCTCGTTATGCGATTGCCATCGAGAAGAAGTGTCTCGAGGCTCGACAGTCTCACAAATGCGCCGTCCTCAATTTCATTGATATCATTGTTTTTGAGATCGAGATACGTCAGTTGATCGAGTGCATGGAAATAGTACTTTCTGATGACTCGCAGCTGATTGTCAGACATGTAGAGGGCTGTGGAATTTCTCACGTCGTAGAATGATCTCTCTGACGTATCAGCGATATCGAGGGACTCGATGTGCAACTCGATGTCGTCGATTGTTTGCACTGCATTGGCGTCCTCGAATGCCAGGTTTTGGAGGTGATTGAGGTCGTTCAGGCAGACGTAGAGGTGATTGTGAACACGACAGTCTGTTGTGCCTACTGGGTTCGGTGAGACGGCGGTGAGGATGCGGAGGAGAATGAGGAGAATTGCCGAGAGATTCATGACGCGGTAATCACTTCGGACACACTGATTCTGCACTGGGGGAACTTAATGACTTGAGATGGAATAAGTCATCGAAGTGGGAGAGGGATATCACAATGTTGGCTGTGGCGGATTGATAATTTCAGAGTTGAGGTCGGCAATTGGGGGACCGACGAGAGGGGGTCTAGGGTTTGATGGGATTCAGGGGTAGTGCATTACATATTTTGAGAATTGTGAGTTTATTTAGTGGGCGTCGATAAATTCAAGAGAATAGCTTTGTTTTTCTTAAGAAATTGTTTTGTAGCGAGAGAAAAGTCAATTGAACTTTATTTTACTATAGAATTGTTCCTGCTTGAATTTTTCAACATTTTTCTTAGATTTCATAATGAAACATGAAAAATATAGTAAACACCGCTGAAAAAATCAACTTCTATTGCCTCTTCTAGTAAATATTGAGTGAAAGAGAGAATAGGAAAATTGCACAGAGAGAAACTGGAAATTTTATTGAGTAGCACATGAATTTTTCCAGTTTTTTCAATGGAAATCCTTAGAAATTTTACCCTAACAGCACTAGAATCTAAAGAATTCTCCTTGTAGGTTTAGAGACAAATGTGAGGAGAGGGTAATTATCGGCCGTTGGAACCCGATGAACATTCAATTGAAGTTCGATTATAATTCTCCTCAAAATCAATCGAAAATTCTACTCATTTGTTAACTTCGCCTTGCGCTGTTTTGACAGATATTCACTAGAAAAAAGTCAGTAGATGAATTATTCCCTTGGGATTTTATCTGCATAAATGCTTGCGCTGAAATTTCCCATGTATTTTATTTTCCCCTATTTTATTTTGCTTCTCACAACAAAGTTGAAGAAAAAAACACGAAATCTCACCATTAATTCTTGTCTGAAGCAAATTCGATTAGTAGAATTATATTCCTTTCTCAGTGTAATGGTGTATCGAATATTATGAGAAAAATTAATACTCAATTGATTAGATAATTTCAAATTCCTCATTGTTGATATTTGTTTTACTTACAAGACTTATAATTAGATAAAAAAATTATGAGAGCGGATAAGAGTCGGGGCATTGCTCGTTACGCTCCCGTGCATACCACTATCACTGAAAAACGCGAAAAAAGTGATAGAGCACATGGAAATTATAGAACACAGTGCAGTTAACACTTTCCACAAATTATAGGGAGTACGTGGAGGGGGGGGGGAGTTTCCATATTCATGGGAAACTGTGACAACTTACGTGGATACATAAATCTCAGTGGGAGATTGGTTGTGCGATAAGTCTCGTCTGTACGTGGACCCGGAGGCTGATAACTTTCTTCGCTCGTGTATGCTGTCTTGGTTTCACCACATGAGCACGGAATCTCAAGCATTTTTTTTTATGTACACGAGTTCAACTGAAATTGTTTATTCTTTTGGATGGGAATTCTGGGGAGGTGCTGCGTGGGAATTGTCGAAATGTGTTTGTTTCGTTTCCATGGAAATCATCGCGGGCTTTCGAATGCTCGCGTTTGTTCTGGCATATACCAGAAGAATTCTTCTCGAAATAATTCTTTCGCCGCAGTTCTTAGGCAGATTTGTTTATTGTTGAATGAGAGAAATGCGGAAAATTTATTATTGAAGTTGGAAACATTCATTTCATTTCACTTCATTTTTATTTTATACTGACCCAATATTTTATTGATGAAATTAATGAAATGAACAGTTCAAAGTTATACTCATGACGGAAAGGACTATTCATGTTGGTTATATTATGAAATTACTAGACTACCTAATCTATTTTAATGTCTTAGGAATACATAAACTCAATTCTTTTTTGTTTTGCTTTTTTTTCAGTTAATTACACCAGTTACTTTTAGTATTTTTTATGAATTGATAAATGTATAAGGAAATCGAATGGAAGAATCTAGCGCTTTTTTTTACACTGATGGAAAAGGTTTGAGACATAGAATTTTGGTTTTCACCTGAATGTCTTCAACAGGTTTTTTATTTTAGCAAAAAAATGGGGGTAGAGAATACAAACTCAAAAATTATTCTATGAATTTTATTGCTCGTATTCGGACAGATCTTGTCTTTAGAAAAATTGAGGTGATATGATGATTAGAATTCAAGATTCATCAAATTCAAGATTTATACAATTAGCAAGATTTGTTTACTATTGGACGAGAAAATGGTGGAACATTGATGATTAAATTTTCCGAAAAGCATTCAGCATTTGTTATAAATTGATACTTTTATAGAAATGCCATGGAATTTCTCTCGGAACTCTACGAGAACTTTATTGGAATTCTCTTGAAAGTCCTTTTTTCGAGTTTTTGTACAAAAATTCTTGCTCATTAATTTTTCATGATTTTTCCACTGGATTGATTTTGTTTTTCATTGCAAAATCCGACATTTGTATGGAAGAATCCCAATAAAATAAATTCCATACGAAGATCAAATATAATGACGTCTATATTTTTCATTAAACACTTCTATTTCAAAAAATGCACAAGAAAGTTGCAGTATTTTCCGATAAAAATTTTAAACACCAGAATTTCCACGAGGAATCGAATAGAATTTCGAAGAACATGCCCTATTCCACGGCTTCCTCGTTTCTCATTCATTTTGAGAATTCATTAATGCATTATTTATTTAAACACAAGGAGTTTCCAAAATAATTATTTTATCATCACCCCTACGGGGCTAGCGCGCTGCGGTGGCGGGAAAGTTTACCTTTGAAAAATTAAGTAGTGCTGAGCGCGGTCACTAGATGGATGGGTGACCGCGCGGGAACACCTCAGAAAAGAAACATTACCTGGATAAACTCGAAATCTGGAAGAACTGGAAGCATTGGGAAAAACAAATATGCGGCAGAAGCGGGTTTTGAAGGAATGAGAAACCGTAAAAACCGAAAGGTACTATTCTATCATCGAAGACTATTGAAAAAAATAGTAAAAAAATCCCCACAATGATTTCTAGTTTGGATTTTAGACAAATTCAAATTGTCCTTTTACCATGAGAAAAAATATGGGAAAAGTTCTCCAAAGCTCCGCGAGATTTCACTCCCATTCAATCCAACTCGTGCCCCCATCTCTCGTAAATCCCCCGTACCACGACTCCACAAAAGGTTAAAGAATTCCTGGATCGAATGTTTACATTCTGAGCTATTTCATCAGCAGGCCTACATCGACTACTCCAAAAGTTGCCCAACGAAAGCCCTCGGTTTCCCTCAACATTTTCCGAAAAAAACTCGACAAAAACCCAGTAAGCATCGTCTCTACGATGTCGTGTCACGATAACGGTGTGAAAAGTGTCGAGGAGACTTGTTACGGATGTTTACACACGCCGAGTTAAGAATTAAATACAACACAGTGTTGATTGTGTGCCCATTGCGCTTTGGAAAGGAGTAAATAATTTTTCTGCGTTGAATAACAACATCAGGAGAGTTAACAATTGGCAGGATGCAACAGGAGGGAACACCTAAGTTCCTGAAGTATCATCAGGGCAGCGTGAGGAGCGTCGCATTCAGTCCAAGGGTATTTTAAGAAATGAAAATGTTTATTTTTAGAATTATTAAGAAAAAAACAAGTTCCAGGTGGAGTGGATAAACCAGTAACCAGTTTATTTTTTTATGTTTCGGTGGAAGTCTAATTATTTCGATAATTACTGACTCTGCGGTAAAATGACAGAAGATGTTTTTTACTCATAATTTTATCAGTCGCAAAAAAGTCTTGACATTTTCTCCTGAAATGAGCGGTTCTCAAGATGATTGTATGGCTGCACTGGAAGATAAAATTTACATTTTAGGAAAATTCAGTAGAATTTCATATTTTTAAGCGCGAGAAGACGAGAATTCTTTAATTTGCTTGAATTTGTAATAACACAATCAATATTCATTTGCAAATTACGATGAATTGTCAATTAGGTAAAAATTAAAAAATGTAATTACCTGTATTCTCTAATTTCCATTAATTTGCATGGAATAATTTAACTGAAATTTACACTTTGAATTGATTTTTTTTAATCAATTTGCTATCAGTAAATATCTATTGAAGAACGCAGACCAAAGTTGAATTTTCCATGCAAATTCAAGAGAATTTTAATAGAACTTCAATTGATTTCTCATAGAGTTCCAGCAAAAAACCATCAAATTTCTTGGAAAAAATGTTATTTGTTTCTCTTAACTATTCCCATACGTGGGAAGAAACCTGGAAAATTTATTCATGAGAATTTCTTTCGAATTACTAGAGAAGTGTTATATTCAATTTAAGAAAAAAAACAATGAACTTTTAAACTTTAGTAGAACTTCAATGGCATTCCAAATTTGTCAGTAGCAAGAAGACAATGCTTCTCCAAATTACGTGAATTTGCAATCAAAACATCAATACTCATTAAAAAATTACGCTGTATTTTAAATTAATTAAAAATTTAAGAATATATTTACCTAAATTCTCTCATTTCAATTAAATAATCTCTATTAAAATAATTGAACTGAAGTACACACTTGTAATTGATCTATTTAACGACTTGTGAATATTCTATCAGAAAATAACTATTCCATAGGATTTCAAAAGAATTCTAATAGAAATCCAATAGACTTCTTATGGACTTCCAGTACAAAATCAATAGAAATTCTTAGAGATAGCAATAGGTTCCTCTCTAAAAAATATTTTCATACACTTTATTTAAAAAATCTCAATAGAATAATTCTCACGTGATACGTGATTTATTACTGTTTGAATTCCTCCAGGAGAGATACCTATTTTGCTCCGGAGGTTACGATGGAAAAATTATCTTCTACTCTGCCCTGCGAATGGAGTCACTCATGCACTATCAGATAACACCGCATTACATCACGCAGGCCAAGAATGTTAATGCTGTTAAATTCACCTCAGATGGATCCAAAGTACGAATTCCTGGTTATTTCCCAAAAGAAATTGCACATTTACCCACTACTAATGTATTTTCACTCAATCATTAGGTAATTGCAGTTACCAATGCTCGTAGATTAGTGGTGATTGATGTGGAGAGAGGGGCACAACTGTTGAGCTACGACAATTGTGCATTCGGGGGGAAGGATCGCACTGGATTGGCCACTGATCCTGCTAGACCGAATTTAGCTATTTCTGTTGCTGTTAATGGAAAGGGATTGACACTGGTTGATCTCAGGATGCCTCTACCATTAGATTTTATTTATGACGTAAGGTTCATGCTTTTGAAAGGCTATTTGTGGAAGACTTTAAAAACTTCCTAAAATTTATTTTGACCTCTTCAAGGGTTGAGAGAAATTTGAAAACTCACTTCAGAATTTGATGAATTAATCTCTGAGGAAAATTTCCATGTTTTGTTTTATTCATTTTAAAAATATTCAATCGTCTGAATAGCGAGTGATTCTAGAAGAAAATGTCAAGGATCGTATTTTACTGGAAATTTCGTCTGCTTTAAAAAATCTGACATGTTCACTCCTTCAAGTTCACTCCTTCTTGAAATAATGTTTAATTAACGAATATGGAGTGTTCGATTCTTCATTTTCACAGGAATTTGTAACAATAACTTCTTTATAGCCCTTGATATGTCCATCACAAGGATATTTGTGAAACAGTGAATGAGGAATTTTTAATTTTTTTCATTAGTCTGTTCAGTTTTTTAATTTGTTTGAATGGCTTGATTTTACGAGTGTCTGTCCTTCGCAGCTACATGGCTCTGTCATAAGGGACATATGTTTTTTGCCATCCTCATGGCCATGGCAAAATTCAATATTGACGGGCGGTACCGATGGTACGTGTAAAGTGTCATCCCCCGATGGACGGGTGTTGCATTCTTTCCAGCCTGGACACAGCGTCAACACTGTGTGTGTCACACCAGAGCCTTTCAGCAGAACCGCTGAAGATGGATACTACAGTATGTTTGCTAATCAATATTAACTTGACATGTGACAGGGAAATTGCATACAAATTCCGATATTTTTATGGTTTAACAATATTCATTTGTCAAATGAAATTTACTAATTTAATAACGTATTTAATCCATGAATTTGATTAAATTTTCCATTCATTAGGATTTTCCATTCATTAATTCTACTTGACCACTTTGATAGACAACTAGGGGAGGGTCGGGCAAAACGGCCCCCCTTCAATTGTCAATAACTTGTGAATGACATTGTGAAAATTCCCAGTTTCAACTTCATTTTGAAGATAATTTTTCATTCTTCAAAACGAGCTCTAACTCATCCCAATCGGATTATTGAATCGGAAAATATTGACGATTGAAGGGGGACCGTTTTGCCCCATCCTCCCCTATTTGCATTAAACATTCAATTATTCAATACAAAATTAAATGAATTGTGTCCGCGTAATTATTTGATATTTTATCTTCTCAAAATCCAAATGATCTCAGTAACGAATGATTTTGCGGGAAATATTTTCTTTAGAATTTTCTCGGCTTGAAAAATGCATGACATTGAGTGTAAGCTCTTCATAAATTGTAAAATTTATCATAAAATCTCTTGAGAAAGTAATTGAACTAATTTCCTTTCCTAAGAATACCTCATGAAAATGAATAACATTTTGTTCTTCTCCTTTCAGGTTTGATAATGAGTGGCGGTGATCTAGTATCTGCTTACGTACCAAACACTGGTATCCAGCAATTGCTCAAGGAACACAAAGATTCACCAGTGTGGAAGTTGCGTTATACTTCCAATGGAAGTACTTTATATTCTGTCTGTGACGGAGGAATTCTGAGGCGTTACAGGAGGTATCCTGATCACCACGAGCACATTGGCGAGGTTTATCGTCACAAGGGGGATATCCAGGATCTCGATGTCTCTGCCTGGGACGAATGTATCCTTTCGAAAGCATTAAAATCTCTATTTACATTGAAAAAGATACACGTATTGTTATTTTCATGAATACTAAAGAATTAATGGAATGAACTTTGTTGGATTTTCATTATTTCCTGATCCAATGGCGCAAAAACTATTTTGTACTATGTCCCAGTGAGAATTCTAGTAGAATTTTCATAGAATCTCAATAAATTTTCTAAGAAAAACCCATTTCTTTCAAAATAACAAAATGGAAAATTTTACTCTGTCGTGATCAAGTTATTGACTATTCTATGAATCGAATGAATTTACACCGATTTTTCCTTAACAATAGAAATTAGATGTGATTACAGCTTCCAAAGATCGCAGCGTCGGAATTCTCCTGCTTGGCTCGCCGAATCACGGCTTCACAGAGTACACTGAACTCACCTGATGTCCAAGAACAATAAATTCCGTCCTATTCACCGATGTCGGCCTAACAAGCCCGGAATTAATATTAAGGATATTATTCATGTTGAATATAAATTTTTGTAACTTAATATTAAAGATAAGACGTTGTTATTTTGGTATATAAGGAATTTATTGAGACATTGTACAGTAACGGGAATTGGAAGGAAATAAAAGGGGAGATGAGTCCAGAAGGGCGGGTTTTTATTATTCTTGGAATATCTCCGGAGGCAAGACATGCACGAAGAAATGTCAAAACACTTTGTGGAGAATTTCGGGAGCAAAAAGCAAAAAGGTCTGCCGTCTTCTCCTGAACTTCATAATTTCAGAGATATCTACGGGATGATCTGAATCTAATTTTTGAATTCATCTCCTCCTAAACTAATATTTTATTGTTGATTATTAAATTATTCCAGAAAGCATTGAATGATAATAATGATAAGTATGAGTGGAAAATGAAAAAAAATTGAGAATTTCATGTGCAGTTTTTTTTACAAATATATCCTAAATATGTATGAAGTTCTTGAGAATATCAAGAACTCAGCCATGAGACCGTTATTTTTATAACTTTGTAAATTGAATAGTTTTTTTTTTCATAGAAAAAACTATTGTGACCTGAATTGCAAAAGTAAATTGCAGAATTTTCGATAGAATTGACGGAAAAACACATCCAATTTTTACCGGATTTGAATAGAACTTCATTACACAAGGAATCATTTTCGTACAGAATTTTATGTACCAAAACAATCTCTTATCATTCATTCCCTCCTTTATTTTCATCTTCTTCCCTATATTAATAAGAAGAAATTGATGACAACTGAAGACAGTCTAAGTTCTTGTTTTCACTGTATTTTTCTTTGTTTCTTATAATAAAATTTAAGGAAACCTTTAAATTTTATGGCCCAAAATTCTTATAGAAAAATCCCTACTTCAGTTCCTCCACTCCTTTATTTTCGTTTCTGTTCCCTATATCAATAAACGAAATTGTTTACAATTGAAGGCAGCCTAAGTTTTTGTTTTCTTAGACCAAAAAATTTTTAGACTGTTCAATCAAAAACAAATGCAATTGTTACTAGAATTTTAATAAAATTTCTGCAAGAAAGCGCTAGGCTTCTCTATTTAATTTTTTCATACGTATAACTCCAGTACCCACTCGTCAATTATTGACCATCTCGATCACGAGGAATTCTCTGAGAAAACATCGAACAAGAAATAATTTTCGTAAAGAATTTTATGAGCCAAAAAAAAGTTTCTTATCATTCATTTTTATCGCAAACGACTTTAGTTTCTCCACTTCTTTATTTTCATTTATATTCCCTATATCAACAAAAGAAATTGTTGATAATTGAAGGCAGTTAATCACTCCACCACAAAAGTAAAAAACGTTTACGAGTGTCCCCGAGTGGTTATCGCATTCGAAATAAGAAATGTGTTAGATACGGGTTGCCTTCCTTTTCCTTGCCGATCCAAAAGGGGTCAATGAGCCAATGGTAACGAGCGAACCGCTGTTGACTATTGTACCACCTGCATAGAAGTTTTGGTAGGTGACAATTGTCAGTGTGCCAACACGAGGTGTTCACGTTCGATTAAACTCCAAAACCATTTTGAAAAATTTCATTGGGTGAGCATAACACATGCGAACACATGTGATATCAATTTTAAACCCATTTTCACTGATCCGCCTTCATTTGACAGTGGAAATTAAGTGTTTGTTCGGAGGTGAGTGTTGTTCTTATTTTTTCTTCAAGCCTCCCCACTACTTGTTCAACAGCACAACGTGTGTGTAAGGCTTAATCAAATGTATTATTATCAACGCGTCCAGTTGCGGTCTGGACACTAAGAAAGAATTCATTGTTTCGTACTGTGAGAGTTTAACAATTTTCATTTTCAACTTGTGGTAATTCAATAGTGAGAAAATGATTTAATAATTATGGAAATTGTTAGTGCATGGGTGTTCATTTTTTAAGCTAATTTCGGATGAAAAGATGTTTGAAAACATGTCAAAATGCATTTTTGTGGTCAATTCCATGAGGGAAGAAATAGAATTTGATATTTTCCTCTAAACGCAGGGTTTTTGGGAATAGTTTGTGAATATTTTTTCTAATTGCGTCGTTTCGCCGCGGAAACAACGAAATAACGAATCATAATAAGACTTCCAACCAGTTCTGTTTCAATTTGCGTTCTCAAAAAGTGAAGAGAATCGAATAATAATAAAAATCATTCGTCAACTGATAGATAAAGACAATTCAGAAATTAATGGTCAGATCTTCACGCAAATATTTTCCGAAAGAAAAGATTGAGAAAATGAAGAACATCTCTCGACGTGTTATAAATTACGACGTGTTATAGATTTTTTCTACCTGCTTCATTTTACAATTTTGCCAGAGTAATAATTAAACAATTAAAATATTCATCGGGGAATAATCAATTATCCCGAGTTATGGCAGACTTTCAATGATTATTATTTGAATGTGTCTTTGAAAATTTGAAAAACAAGAGATAATAATGATAATCAGTAATGAACTCGTGGAAAAAGGCGATTGTAGAATTCTTGTGCAGTTTTTCCCCCCAAATATCTTTTGAAAGAAGAGATGCAAAAAATAATGTCACTAGAAATTTTTTGTCGCAAATTTCGTGAGGTACAAAAAACATTTTATAACATTTTTCGCTGAATCCAATACTTCCCGAAGATATTTAAGAAATAAGACGCTTAACCATTTCTGTATAAATTTCCGTTCTTACAAAGTAAAGAGAATTGAATAATTATAAAAATCATTCGTCAACTGACAAAAGCAGACAATTCAGAAATTAATGTTTAGATATTTATGGAAATATGTTCCGTAAAAAAAGATTGAGGGAACGAAGAACATCTTTCAATGTTTTATATTTTTTTCCGCTTCCTTCATTTTACAATTTGGCCAGAGCAATAATTAAACAATAAAATTATACGGGAATAATTAATTATCCCGAGTTTTTGCAGACTTTTGATGATTATTATTTGAATGTGTCTTTGAGAATTTAAAAAACATGAGATAATAATGATAATCAGTAATGAACTAGTGGAAAAAGACAGTTGTACAATTCGTGTGCAGTATTTCCTACCAAATATCTTTTGAAAGAAGAGATGCAAAAAATAATGTCACAAGAAATTTTTTGTCGCAAATTTCGTGAGGTACAAAAAATAATTTATGACATTTTCCTCTCAATCTACTATTTCTCTAAATATTTACGGAATAACCCCTGAGAAATATCTATAAACATTTCCCTAGAAAGTATTAAAATACAACAAAGTTATAAAGATATTTTTTCTTCTTGTCTCCAGTGATTCACAACGATGAATAATTCAATGTTATATGTAACAAGTGCATAATTCTGGTTTATGTTCCCGTATGCAGGGCAAACCGATCGTAAAACTTCATTAAATTGTTCCAGCAGATAAAATTCATACTCTATAATTTTTTGTTCGAAATAAATCCAATCACCTGGGATTTTTACACTCCTGATAAATCAGTGGAACAATAGGGGGGAACGAGACTCGTAAATGCGCTAGGAGGGTTGATGTTTCAGTATGATGGACGATCATAAAGTAAATGCAATGATGAAGTGAAAGATCAAGGTTTCATCCTGCAGCATATCAAGTTCATCGGAGTGGGTGGCGTTTCCGTTTGATCTTCACTGTTTACTGTCTCATCAACTTATTCAATTAACACCTCTCGGGTGGAAGATAATGTCAATTACAATAATCAACGGTTTATTTCTGGGTTCAGGATACTACGTCATTTGTTTTTAGCCACGTGTCAGAAGGACGTTTGATACTAAGTGGTTATTAATGTTTGATGGCTTTTTTTCCTTGAAATAAACCGAAATAAAATCCATAGAAAATCGGTACGTCTTTATGAGCTACGGAATCAGTGCGTGGAAGTGGAAAAATTAATGGTTTATATTGTTTAATATTAATTTATTATTGATTAAAAACAGACAAATAGTGAAGAGTGAAGATATCAGTCAACGTGATATAATAAATATTTTTACGAATTTAAAACATTGCATTGTAAATTTTCCGCGTACGGAATAGATTAAAATAAAATAAAAATTATCTAAATATTTTTATGAACTGAGAAAACTTTTTTATGCATTAAAAATAATTATCCCTAGCTGTGGTAATTTTATAAAACTTTCCTCGTTCGGAATTAACTAAAATAAATCAATAAAACGGATTTAACTATCTTTGCGAACTGCGGAGGGTGTGCGGTGCATTGAAAAATATTGAAATTCATCCGAACTATAAAAGAATAATAAAAATGATCCAGTGGGTTTTACGTATTCAAAACATTTTTCATTTCGACAAAATTTGAAAAATAGTGTTTATCAGTGTTCAATTGCGTAAATGCGATTGCAGCTGAGAACAGGAAACATTCAATGGTGATGATGATTCAGAAGGAGGACATTTTAATATAGTTTTAATTGTCTGAATACAAAATAAAAAAGTAATGAAAAGTGAAACTTTACTCGCTTAAAATTAATTAAAATTCCCCAATAAAGCGGACTTAACTATCTTTACAAACTCAGGAGAGTGTGCGGTGCATTAAAAAAATATTGAAATTCATCCAAACGGTGAGAGAATAATAAAAATAATCCAGAGGTTTTTATGCATTATGTAATACAAAATGAAACAGTTCTCGTTCAGAATTAATTAAAATACACCATTAAAACGGAATTAACTATCTTAACAAACTCAGGAGGGTGTGTGCTACATTAAAAAAATATTGAAATTCATCCAAACGATAAAAGAATAATGAAAATAATCCAAAGTTTTTCGTGCATTCAAAACCTTTTCATTGCGACAAAAATTTTTAAAATTCAAATAAAAAAATTCAATCATGATAACGATCCAGAAAAGAGCCACTTTAATTCAATTTCAATTACCTAAATAAAAAATAAAGAAGGTAATTTAAAATGAGACTGTTCACGTTCAGAATTAATTAAAATAAACCACTAAAACTGACTTAACAATCTTTACAAACTCAGAATGCCGCACCGTGCCCTGGAAAAATATTGCAATTCGCCCATTTTACCTTATTAAAACCATTTTTTACTGTGAAAAAGATTACATCAAATTGCATTTGTCAGTTACCCACTGCGTAAATGCAGTTGCAACTAGTGAAACGTCAAAATTCAATAGTGATAATGCCTCAGAAACGGGACGTTGAACTGACATACAGAATGAAATGTTACACAGTGGAGAATGAGAAACTGTTCGGTGACATAATTGTGACCCATCAGACAGTGGATCGTATCTGTCTACCAGAAAATTGGCGAAGTACGGCTGTTTATAAACGCCGACGACGCAACTTGACGCAAGAAACACTAGAGACGCCAGACTTCATGGCACTCAACAGAAAAACCGGGAGAAATAGTCAGACGTGCAGAGCTGCTGAGGGCGAAGCCGATTTTTACGCTATTGAGTACGAGAAGAAGGATTGTCATCGGGATGAGGAGGCGGATGGTGTGCGGAAGCTGAGGGTAATGATTTAATCGTCCACTCTGGGCTTTTTTCCTTTTTTCCGGGGTTTATTGGGGGTAATTGATACTTTGCAGAGCTACCCCTTGCCCATGGTGAGGGAGTTGACTCAGGAAGGAGCAATTTCATCGTTAGTTGATCAATTACTTCTGGACATCTACGGGTTCCCCCGGGGCGATCGCTCTAGGTCTGAGAGCGAGTCCACTGTGTCGTCCTTTAGGCCTAGACCGCAGCATCGATATCTGCAGAGGGCTCGGTTGCAGCTGAAGAGTGAGTGCAGTAATTGGTTCATGTTAAAACTAATAACACATGTGCACAAAAAAAAAATCGTAAAAGAATAGCGAATTCGCTAGGAAATTCTTTTTAATTTTT